AGCGGGCAACATAAGTCCATCATTAGAGTCTCAAATTACATGAAAAAAACACAAACCCTCTCTTCAATCCACACTGCCAACTGTTCGCTCGCCTCCTCTATGCAAATGTCACGACTGCTTCTGGTCTGCTTGCTTGTCTCACTTATTATTCATTTTTGTTTCTGTCTGCTTTAAATTAGGCCGTCCAACCCGTTCCTGGAGGCTGATCGCTTGTGCTGAAAAGTCGCAGCTTGCACTAAATCCCCTTGGGTTTCATGGAAGTGACAAAGGGAACAAGAAAAAAAATAAAGTAGAGGAGGAAAAACATCCCCTCCTATGCTGCACTGGAGACCGACGGGGAAGGGGATGACAGCCCTGCTCTGCCAGCCTCTGCGTGGGGGTTCAGCTGTGGCTGGGGTTCAGCCGTGGCTGGGGTTCGGTGGGTTGCTGGACCCCATGGGGTCAGCAAGGACTCCAGACCCACATAGGCTGCCCTGGGCAGGGCTGTTGTCTGGGACCCTGAGCACCACCAAGGGGATTTACATCATTTGAGTATTTTCTTGTTCAGTTTTAGCTCCACCGGCATTTGCCAGAGCCAGTTCAGGAATGTACCGGCACTGGGAGCGAGGCTATGTTAGTGCTAACCCCTTGCAACGGGGTGAGAATTAGGGCCCAACGCGGACCCAGCATGTCTGCACTCTTGTGTGGCCTCCTCCTCTTTCACTCGGATGCTCTGCTCTCCTCATTCCCACCCATAAGGTTTGGTCCAGGGTCCTTAGAGCATGGACACATAGGTTTGGTTCCCCCCCGCTCAGGATAGTCCTCCAACATGTTCCCAGCAGCCCATGCTCCCTCAAACACCTACAGACATCTTCACACCGCGCTCCGGAGCATGCGATGCCCTCCCTCTATGCCACACTCCACGCTGGGGACCTGGGCCATGCCCTCACAAATCTGGGGTATTCTGAGCAGAGAAAAATCCCATTGCAGTGTTGGCAATATGGCAGGGAGCAGAGGAGACCTGGATCAGTTGTCACACAGCAGGGCCAGCGCCAGTCCCTTTGGAGAGCTTAGCCCTGGGCCGGCTGGCAGGGGGCCAGGGCTGTTTCTCAGCCACAGAGGGGCTACAGACCCAGCCTGCGTCACTTTTTACATGGAGCTGCTTCATCCCGTCAGATGGTGCCTTCACATCCACCCTCCTGCCAGCAGCATCTGTGTCCCTGGGGGGGTGCTGCTCTCGACCTAGTTGAAGAGGCGCGAAGTGGGACAGGGATTGCTGACTCAGACGCATGTGCTGAACCAGCAGCGACTGAAAGCAGAGCGGAGCTGCCAACGCACAGAGCAGCTCTCAGCACGCGGTCCGTGGAATGACGACTGCCCACAACATCCTCACGCTCTGAAAACACCTGGAGCCGGAGCATCTCCAAGTAACATTGCCAGAGAGAGAGGCATTACTGTTTCTGGGATAAGGGACAGAGGGATGGGAATTAGTTCATCCCAGCAAATCCATACTGGAGCTGGTGACCCCCCATCCTCACACCATACTAACTTCTAAGCCATGCTCAGTCCTAACTCAGAGGCATTGGGAGCCCCAGCAGCAGACAGGGGAAATGAAGCGATCCTTCTTCACTAGCCAACTTGCACCTTCAACGTAAAAGCCCTGGACAGAGCAGAAACATCTCCCAAACGTTCCCAACTAGGAATGAGTGGAGACACACGTTGCAAGTCCTCATTTCAGCATGTGGTACTGCTCCATGCTACCTCTCAGCTCTCGCACTTCTCTACCAGTCCTCATTTACTCCAGTAGAAACTGGAATGTCAAAGGAGCATAAGAGAGCCAGGTATCCAGCTCTGTTTTCCACCAATTCTTTCCAAAACCCTGATGCCACATCCAGAGCCCCGAGAGAACTGACCTCCTTGCTATGAACCACTGTGCTCTCCCCAACCACATCCCAGAAGATACAGGATTACGCTTTTACCAGATATTTTCCTAAAAGATGGGTTATGGTTTGCATTAGATCTGCACCCTCACCAAGAGACAACCAGCTTCTGACCACCTTTCATTTACAGGCATACAGCCACCACATGAGGTACGCCCTGGCTACAGAGGTAGGAGAGGCTTGGAACGGGCACGGGGCTGCTCCGAGGGACGCTGACCCCAGCGTCGCAGGCGCTAGCACCTTGCTTCTGTTCCCTCCCACTCTAAACGAAAAGACCTTTATTTCTGCCAAGAAATACAGCAGTTTCTTGGCATTTCTAAAACAGCTTTTAAGGCTGCCGCTGGGACCTGGGACGCGTGCTTTTGCTTTGCCTTCGCTGAAGTCTACCTTCAAAGCAGCGACTGTTGTCAGCACATCACAAAATCCGTCAAATGACCGGGGGATCAACAAGCTCCTCTGTAGCTCAACATCTTTGGTAGCAGCACTCTGGGAAGAGGCAACGTGTGGATATCAGTGAAATATGGAGCCCACGGTCCTCGCGAGGGACACAGCAGCTTCCCAGCCTCACCACCTCGGGGCACCAGGCTGTACCCAGTAGCCTCCTGCAGGCTCCATGGGAGATCTCTGTCCTGCGGCAAGAGCCAGGACAAGTGTCAAGGTGCTCGACTTGCCTGTCTGCTCAGACAAATTCCCCATCTGACAACCTTGGCTTTGCTCCTGGTCCCATTTTCCTGTTTCTGAAAGGCATGCCAGCCACACGAGATGGAAACCGAGCACCACATCTGAAAACACTGTGCAGAGCTCAGTTGAATTCCAGTGGATTTTTATTTTTTCTAGGGTGTCTTAAAAGAGTCTGCTCTTTCATGAATCTAATTTTCTCTATGCGAACATTTGGATCCCCCCCCATAAGTAATTAAATAATCTCCATGAACTTTGCTTCCTCCAGCTTTCAGCAGGGGACCTACTGCTGCCCTCAAGGGAACCCAAGATATATATATATATATATTGGATTTTTTTGTTTCTAATCATTATTTAATCAAGATGAAAGGCGAGTAGAAATGAGGCCCTTACTCCTACTCCAGGCTGTAATTTTAAGTGTGATCCTAGACCAAGAGGCAGTGCAGTCTAATAGGTTACAAAAATACAATCACCACTCATCTTCCAATTAAAGTGCACAAGTCCATTTACTGTGCTGCAACCAGCCCGGAGGCGAGAGGTGACTATACATTTTCTCAACCATAAGGGGACCGAGACCCATCAACAAGCAGGGCGGCACAGCCTCACTTATAGTTGGAGGTTTTCTTTCTTGGGTCTTTTTTCCTCTTGTTTTGCAACTCACTTCAAAGTGGAGTTAATTTCTTTTTCAGAGGTGCATAATGTCTCCCTTTCTCTCTTTTTCTGTGCATTGTAATAATGAAAGGAATAAAAAACTTGACCCTGGCGAGCGCTGCTCTCGGCGAGGGCCTGGCAGACATCTGCCGAGGAGCCGCCGGCACGGGGAGCAGCAGCTGCTGAGGGGCTGTGCGCCTGCTCTGGGGTCCCCCCATCTTCCCAAGCAGGGGACTGGGGGAGGCCTCCGCCCGGGGGAGAGGGGCTCAGCTCTGCCGACGATTTGCCCCAGCTGAAAAGCCAGCCTCTTACGAAGGGAGTACAAAAAATAGCAGTGCTGTAGGAATACAATATAACCCCTTTTTGCACAATTATGAATCCCTGACTCAAGGAATGTTGAGTGGAAAATATCCTTTTTTTTTTTTTTTTGCTGGATGGAGAGTTCAGGGTGAGGCTTTCTCTACCAGAAGGGCTAAGCTAAGTCCAGGAGCACGGAGGCAATGACACAGCTGTCCCCGCAAGGTCAGAGCTCGGGTTATTTGGGGCTGCTGAGCACCCTGGCTCACAGATCCATTGCTGGGAGCACATTCCTGGGAATGCCAGGCAAAGGTTTGTTCCTTTGCAAAGATCTTTTCAGCCCGCTGAGGCGCAGCCAGTGTCGCTTGACAGAGGCCAGGGTGTCCCCAGCTCGGCTTGGGCCAGGCTGGCACTGCTTTGGAGCAATGGTTTGCTTTCCACCACCTCCTTTGGGACTTGGTGTACAGCAGGACCCTCCCGTGGCTGCAGGCATCCCTCCTTCCCCCCGGCTGCCGGCCTTGCTGCGGTCCCAGCGCTGAGCTGCAAATGCATGGGGCAATAAATAACCAGGGGTAACCTCAGACCCCTGGCTGGGAGGGGAGAAAAGGAAAAGCAAAAAGAGAGCAACTTCCATATTTATGGAAGGCTTTGCCTTCCTGCTCTTCAAGGGCCCTGTTTGTTGCTAGAAACACACTGCCTAACAGTTAAAAGAATATTTTTTCCTATGTAAGCCAAAACCCAGGCTAGAAAACAGAGAGCAACAGCAAGCCAATACACAGATCTGCTACAAGGTTCCCTCCTGCATACGCTGTCCCAGCCCCTGCACGACATCGCCTCGCTTCTACCTTTCTGCAGACACATGAGCGCAAAGACAAACAGCACCGTTCGGAACAACCGTACCCCACTGAGCCTCACTGAAAAGCTGGCTCAAGCCTATGTTAATTTGTGACATCGTCACCGAGTTTCAGTGGAAGTAAAGGAGCTGGCAAAGAAAAGTGTATGCAGCGTGCAGTTATCTTCATCAGGTACAACAAAGGCAATTAGATTCATACCCTGCAGGTATTTATATTGCATTGCTCAATGGAAAGCACGATGGCATGTAATACATCTGCATCGGTGTGGAATAAAGTCTCTGCAGCAGGTTGGGGGTGTTCTGTTCAAAAACAGATGCTGTATATTACCCACAGCTTCTCTGCATGCCGGGACACAGATCCACAGTCCTGTTCTCAATAGGTGGCCATTGCGGCTGCATGGGATTAAAGGCAGAATGAGAGGAAGAAGCCTGGAAATTCACTGCCAAAAAAGAAAAAAAAAAAAATCACAGGGAACTTTGGGGTGTTTCTGCATGCGTGCGCATGTGTGCGTGCATCAACTTATGCACAGAGGCAAGAGGGAAAGAAGCAGCAAGGTAGATGCATGGGCAGGGCATTATTTTGTATGCTTTATCCCTCATAAATTACAGGTAAATCTAGTTAGAAATCATGGCTGTTCCAGTAGAAAGGAAGGAAAACAAACCGGAGGGGACACAGAATTTATGACAAAATGCTTCAAATTTTCAGAAGAAAAAGAATATGGAATAAAATTGGCTTACAAAGCAAAATGTTTGATTCGGAAGTGCTATAGGGAGTTTGTATATTGTCTCTCTGGGTCTCTGCACGTGGGGATCCTCCCTGGACAATCCCTTTCCTTTGGGGATATGGCAATGCATCTCCCCAGGTAGGGACGGGTTGGCTTGGAAGCCCAGGCCAGAGGGAAGGGTAGGGAGCGTGACACACCAACGGCCACGGAGGGCCGAAGCATGGCATTTTTGAATCCCAATTTTGGAATTTTCCACAAAATCTTTTCTTTTCCAGTAATTTATTTTTGACACGTGATCACAACATTTTCTGCAAGAGCACATTTTCCTTTCATAACACATCCAGGCTGCTCTCAAAGTAGATTCTGACAGAACTGAGCTTATTTATAGAGCAACCATTTAACTCGCAAAAAGGAGAGGCATCGAAGAGTTGTGTATAGTCATTAATAAATGAGACTAAGAGTTCCCATTCCATTTTTCCCTCGCCAGTTTTGAGTACATGATAGTTAATGACCTTATTCAGAAAAATTTCAGGGGCAGCACTTAACCAGGGGCTTCAATTTAAACAAGTGCTTAAATGTGCTCTTGAATGATGTCCCAGGAGAGCTTACTTCTTTCTGAGAACAAAAGGACAGTAGTGGGTTGCATGGTAAAGGTACTGATGCCTTTTAGTCATTGAAATGTTTCCCTGTGTTATTAACCCTTACTAGAAAGAATACAGCGGGGGCCTGAGGACTTTTATATCGCATCTATCGCTATAAAGCTCTGGTTTTCCCTGCCCTGCAGCCTGTGTGCTCATTTACCCTGAGTGAAGCAAGTGGAAAGGGGAGTGCAGCATGCTTGAGTTTAGCTCATTTTAAAGCCGTTACAATTTTAAATTAGGGTTTACTCTTGCTCAGGGAACAGAACAGCTGGCAGTCGGCCTCACAGGACACAGGGAGCCTGGCTTCAGAGAGAGGAAACCTAGTACCAATTAAAAACCAGGCTTAGACTTGAAAACATTTATGTAAAATACGCAGCTTGAACCGAAAAAAAAAAAAAAACCAACCCTGGTGACATGATGCAGTCTTTGGCTGGTTGACTTTTGGGAGGAGCTCTTAATTCATTCCTACCTTCCCAAGTTGACAGAGGGCAACACCCCCGGCTGCGGGCAACGAAAGCTTCATGGCTGTTACTCCTCCCTTGCGTGCGCACACACATCTAAGCGCGGTGTGCAGGCTCTGCTGTTCCCTCTACCTTATACGGTTTTAAAAGCGATGACTCACATGTGTGCTACACACTCAGGAGATGTATATAACGAGAGCAAATCTGCATATCTATAATTCCAAGAGACAGCTTGTGCCTGTCTGTACCCACGTATAATCTCCGTGTATTTTGATCGGAACGCTGTCTGCGGGGGCGAGCGGATAAAGTCTCTCCTCTTGCTGGCACTCTCTCTCTCATATCTGATGTAGCTACTGCGTATGGCTGAGCTATTTCCAGTCGATGACTGGGCCTAAACGAGAAAATCAGTTCCCCATTGTATACCACTTTGGGGCTCGGAGGACTCTGTACTCCAGACGCCTCTAACGTTACACATCCACATGCACGAGTACCAGATTCTACACTACCCTGAGTCTCGTGTCACAATTTCTCCCTCCAGAATGCCTCCCAGATGCTAACATCACGATCAAAGAGCGTCACACCTCTGCTTTGCAGCTACTGGGAACAAAGGGGAAACGTGCCATGGGAAAAGGAAGACTTCATATCAATCTGTGTCTAATATTTCTCTCCATCTCTTGCTCCCTCAATTCTAAGGCATGTATTATATCATCTCTTTCCATGTATATGGAAAAACATCCCAAGGCACTGAGCCTGATTTTACCCTTGGCTGCCCATGCAGTTCCCGTTAGCATCAATGAGAGCTCCTCCTAAGTTCTGAATTTGGCCCCTGGGCTTGTCAGTCCAGAGCAACAGCGATCCTACAAGGATCCCAATAGTCAGAAAACACCCCCTGCCAATAATCAGCAACTCATTAAATGTAAATGTTTCTTTTATATATGTTTGATTCCCTTTCTTCCCCTGAAGGACTAAACTTTTGGACACGAAGACCAGTGAATTAAGTTCACATCCAGCTGAGTAAAGACTGCATAACAAACACTTCCCTGTAAAATATCATTGCTGGAGGCCACTATTTTTTGTTAAATGTCCTCAATTCATTATTCATAGGCTAGAGCCTTTGCAAATTTTCCCCCTCTCCAGCCCCACCCTTGGTGTGAAAGTGCTGAAGGAAGGAATGACTTTAAATACATTGGAGAACAGCACCATTAATAAATAATACAGTTTTAACCAACTTTGTCTAACATCGCTATAATTGAGTTATAAAAATTTCATATCAGATTCCTTGCCCAGATTCCTGTGGCTAGTTCAAGCAAAGAGGCACAGTGTGTAATACTTACTACTTCCTTAGGAGACACGAAGCTGTACAGCGGGAGGGTTTGGCTGGCTTTTTGGCTGGCCTGAACCTCTGCAGAGGAGCTTCGCTTTGCCGTGACCTTTGAACGGTGCCGGGAGTGCCTTCGCCGTGTTTTACGCCCTTCCTCCCGAGACCTGGCTCTGTGCCTCCAGAAGACATGAACAGCCAAACCGTTATTCCTCGGTATTGCGGTAGTGCCCATTACCAGCTCCATACAAACCCGTGGCAGCTCTGTGCTAGGCCTTGCATGTGGGAGGAGGTTTTCCACATGACTGCTCTGTCCATCATGATGGAGAGAAAAGGGGTGTTTTGCTTTTCTACTTTTTTAAAAAAATATTTTGCATCCAGGCTTTGGGCCTTGACCTCAAATTTCAGCTCCAATTCATGATTTTATGGTGGCTCAAGGCAAACCATACTTTCACACAGCCTTGAATGTCCCTATGGTAATACACCTCCAAGAGAAGACAGGCTCTGCTCTTGCATGAACACCTCTCCAATTACTGATTGCATTCCTCCCCCCACTAATCATCAGCTTTTCATAAGAAAATTCCCCGTAGTTAGGAGGAGTGAAGTGGGAGAGTGGGGGTGGTTTGCTCAAGTGCTTTCAGAAAACGCGAAACATGAACTCATGATGTGTATAAACTGCGCGACTTGCTATCGCAGCGATGCCAGGTCTAGCACCAGCACCCACTTAGCTGGCCCCAGGACGCATCTGTCGTCCACAGGACAGAGATTTTAATCAGGTCAAAGACAGTGGCTATAGAAAGCCACGGGCAAATACATTTCCATTGCTAAGACCAAGTTTAAGGGTTTCCTGGGACATCAGAAGTACAGAGCCCTTGGGCTGGGGAAGGGAGACTAGGCTGGAATCAGCTGTCACGGGCTGATCATCAGCCATGGGGATCAGAAGTGACTGCCGGACCAAAAAGCAGCAGCGACTGCTCCTCGAGGCAAAACCCTTCTCTGGCCGAGGCCACAAGCAGCTCAACCCCCAGTACGTGACATAGCTGCTGCCAGAATGGGATGTGGCTCTGCACAGAGAGCTTGTGGGTCACACAGGCTATTGCAATCACGTCCTTGAGCCCACCGGGAGGTGTCACAGGACACCCGGCCCAGGGAGCGGTGACGTTACCTGCTTCGGCAGCTGGGGGAGTGGGAGTCGGAGCTCTCTGAGCGAGAGTGGCGGTGGCGATGGCGATGAGATTTCCGGCTGCGCCCGCGAGAGCTTTAAGAAGCAGAGAGGAGAACCACTGTTAGGCTAGCAGACTGGGGGCATGCAAGAGCCAGCAGCTGGAGGCTGAAGTCAATAACGTTCAAATCAGAAAGGAGATCTGCGTTTTAAACCAGAGAAACTTGTGTGTGAAACATTGTGCGGGACACCAAGGCATGAGAAATTCTCCATCCCTTCATAGCTACACTGACACTAAGGCAAGCCATCTTACCAAGATCTATGCTAGCATTTTAACTACAAGCTATTAGGTTGGCTCTGTAGCCTGCTGGGGGAAGCTCTATGGACGGGCATGCAGGAGCGCAGCAGACAGCACCAATCTTTTCTGCTTTCAGGACCTTAAAGAACTGTGTGCTTGCCCGTTCATCTGCTTGCCCTTCAACCTGCAGCCTACCCTAGGACAACCAGGGAAAAGCCTGGGACCTTCCCATTGCTGACCCTCATCGGGGGAGCACCATCCCTCCAGGCACCCCATCACAAAGCTCCAACCCTCCCATTTCTTGTTCTAACTCTCCCTGTAGTGCAGGCTCCTTGTTAAAGAGCAGAGGCAGAAGGACAGGCTCCAAATAATACAGCACACTCAGTAACAGCCAGCCTTCCCCACGCTCTCTAGGCAGGAGGGCCCAGCCAGTCCTATAGGCAGCTCTTATGGTTGCTATATGAAGTATGGCTTCCCTAACTGCAGCCTGCCCTATGCACGGCTCCTGCTTGAGGGGCAGGACCATTTTACCTGGTTTCTTATAGGTGTCCGGTCACTGCTGCTGCCTTTTCTGACGGCCACAGGACAGTTACCAGCAAACTGTGTGCAGGGGCCCTGGTTCAGCGCCCTGCTGCGCTTCCCTTTGCTCCGTTCGGGCTATTACTGATGGATGGATTACCTGGCCCTGTTACTGAAGTACCATGGTTGCCCGTGCCAAGGGCTGGACAGCAGGGTGATGTAGGTGGCAGGCTACCCATCACCTTCTGTGCCCCTTCCCTCTCATCGTTTTCACAGCAATTATTTTAGACCTGGTAGTGTAACCGGCTGCTCAGGCTGGCATTGCTGTGCCAGCAGGCAAGGCTAACGATAGGTTAGCTGGTGGGAACGGTCTGGGTTCATGGCCACACTGTACCAGTCACTGACAGCACTAATGCAACCTGCCTGGACAGCATTTAGCAATTTGCAGCTATAAAACCTCAGCAAATCGATTGCTTGAGAACAGCATCTCCTTTAAGACAAAAGGGCAACCTCCAGGGCAATTGATTGAACTCTGCCTGGCTGTTTTCTCTGGTGCTTTTCACACCATGAAAATGATTACATTTTTTAAAAACATGACATTTTGGGATCCTCCTTCCTTATTTTCATACGGCTGAAATCAGCAACACTGAACATCTCTCCCTCGCATGGCGGATTTGTGTGAAAATCCCCATGTTTGCTCTTCACCCTCTGCATCAGTCCCTCCCGTTCAAGAGTTTCTCCTCCCTGCAGGAGTAAAAACCAGTCCTGTGTGATTTAGATAACCAGTTGCTCTGATTTAGATAAGCCAAAGCAGTGTGATTATACAAAAATCCTGATCTGAGTTGGCTCATGGGATCTATCTGATCCACGCCTGGGAGCAATAAGGTTTGCAGAAAGCAGGAGTGGCTCAGCTCTGATTTGTGAGCTGAAAGGCGAAGGCTAAAACACCTGGCTAGTTTATCACCAAAGAGCAATTCTAGCAGCTCATTCCCCCAGGTCAGTACACTCCAGCAAGGCATCTGAGCTTTGTTTTAACCCTGCTGTTAGGCTACCATGTACTGGCCCGTGCTACATTGGGTTTGGGAGATGCCTGCTTTGACTGGTAACCTAGAAGCCTCAGTTTTACCACTGAGATTTCTGGGTGCATAGCAGCCCAATCTGAGGAAAAAAAAAAAGGTGGCTGTGCTATTGAACATGTAGAAATCAAAAGGAGACGGGCTTTCTGCATGCAGGAGAGATGGCCTGTGCAGGCAGCGCAACATGCTCTGCACCTCCTGGATTCCCAGTCTCTGCAGTCCCAGTGGGTACTGGGGTGGGACTGGTGGTATCAGAGGCTGTCGTCCCTCTGTTGTCTTTCTGCCTAAGAGCTAAAAGTTGTGTTGAGAAGAATTAAAGGGCAGGTCCTACTAATACCACACAAACCAGCAGATTTCCATCTGCTAGCTCAGTTTCTGTCTCTAGCAAGGTGTCCCGAGTCCCAGCAGAGCCAACCACGGGTTTGGTGCCCAAGGTTCAGCCCCAGAACTGTCTCCTTGCTCTGAAAGCAGGTGAGAAGCCACAAGTTGCAATTCCCAGAAGACAGAGAAGGAAATAAAACACAGAGAAGGCTGACAGGCCTTCCGTCCAGCCTTGAGGAACCACATTTTATACCATACCCCTCGATTGTCTGCCCCACAGGACAAGGGTTGTGCTCTGCTGACACTCCAGGGCACATGGGAACCTCAACCCCAGATTTTTACAACCTACATCACCTCCAGACAACCCCTTATCTTCCCTAGTCCCCATTGCCTTCTGCTCCTGTTCAGGTCTTTGGTTGTGTTGTATATCGTGAGTAGCCCCTACTGTAACCTCCAAGAGCAGCAAACAAGGAGGAGCTGAAGCCCTTCGCAGTAAGAGCGTGCCAGCCCGCCCTTGGGGCGGTGGAGGCTGTGGGGCACCACGCTCCGCAGATCCGAGCTCATCCTCTCATGCTGCCCTCATCAGAAAAGCTGGAGCCTCTGCTCAGGACTGGATGAACAAGAGACCATACATCCTCATGAGATGCAAAGAAAGTACCAAATGAGGTGGCACAAAAGAGGGAGAGGAAAGATCTCCAGCCTCTACAAACCCTTTTGCATTCCAGCAGAACCAGAATTGCTGGTTTTAGCTGTGAAATAATCCTGAGAATTGCTTAGGGCTGCGCAGCCAGTGTTAGCTCCAGGGGACCCACCACATCCAGCACTCCTAGCCCCGCGGCTCTGCGCAGGCAGGGCAGGGAACACCATGAATCGCTACTTACTGTTTTTTGTGTTTTCTTTCTTCCTTTCTCTTACTTTTGGGGCTTGAAGAACTAAATAAGAAATGGCTAATTAATTCGGAGATTTCTGTTCTGATAAAAAGCTGCACAATCACACATCAATGTTACAGCTAGATTGCCCGAGAGCGTGCAATAACAATGAAAGGGATTAATGATTCTGCCCCAGCACAGGGGATCTGAGCGCCTGCTGACAAATGTGGCTTGTGGGCTTGGCCAAAAAGGATCCTCAAAGGGATCAGGCATCCTGGTGGCTTCGCATTTTCCCATAGAAAAGATGAATACTTCTTGGTACTGTACACACACGTACTGGAATCAGGAGAGTTCTTCCAGTACACACCTGGAAAGCCACTGACTCTGAATGTTTCTAAGATGGGTACTGCTGGGGGAGGCCATACTGCTTGCAAATTAAAACCATAAGAGAAATGAAGACTCAAGATGCAGGATGGATGCAACATGGACGAGGCTGCCGGGAGCTAGGTTATGCCAAGAGGTCTTTTCCAGTTAAGTGCTTGATTGCACAGGCTAGGTTGGAGACCCAATTCCTGTGGGGTTTGAGGAATGCATAAAGCTGAATAGGGAGAGGGTAGCACCAGACCCACAGGGAATGGGGGAAGCCAAGGGGATTCCATAAGGAGACACAGAAGAAAAAGGTCTTCTGGCCCCACCCAGTGAACATCAACTTTGCGAGATCTTGAAGAGACCATTAAACTCATTTCTAAGGGACCACCCACACTTGCTCAACTCTTACCTGTGTCTTCTCTTCTTTGAAGATAACCTGCAAGACACAAATATGTACACTGAATACAGGGTCTCACAAAATTGGAAATTTGAATCAGAGACAATGTGGTTAGGCCCAGCGTTAGACGGAGCACTGCGGAAAGACCTCATGTACCAGCTGGGCAGAATGGTCTTGGCTTTCCTTTAGCCAGCTGGCAAGGAGGTAGCTGAGAAATGCTGGTGTGGTGGAGGTGACTATCACAGTCTGCAAATAATCGAGAATGTGATCCTCAGGATAACAAGTCTATAGAGATCAAATACATCCCCTGTGCCTGGGGGGTCCCTTTTCTCTGCTACTGCCTCCACAGTTTTGCACTGCACTTAGTTTGAGGGGGCAGAGGCGAGTCCAGTCCCTTCTTTTCTGCATGAAGGACCAAGCAGCAGTCAAAGGAAGAATCCTTTCTGTATAACTCCAGAGCAGCCTCACAGGCAAACCAGCGTCCTGCCTCTGTCTTGCCTCCTGGAGCATCCCTGGGATGACAGAGAAGCCACCATGCCAGTGGTCCTTCTAGAAAACCCTGGGAGCACGAGGACGCTC